CAGCCTCTGCTGCAGTGGGTTGCCATGGGCTACCGTGTGTAGCCAGCAGCCAGCATGAGCAGCCAGCAGCCACAGTGAGCGGCTGTCCAGAAGCCGGCAACTGATCTGCCTCACCCGGGAAGATGGTGCCAACTTGGTCCAGTGAAGCAACGTCCTCCACAACTAGACTAAAGAACAAAAGGACAGCAACTTGTCTGTTCCCCTCCCCAATTTCCCAGCGCTGTTCCCATCCCCCAATTACCCAATAAAAATCTTAAAAACAAAATGTTAAAACAGTGCTGAGTGCATGGTAAGTGCTCCACAGGTGTTAGCCATGATGCATGCCAGGCACCGTAGGGGAGTCCTTCAGGACCCACCCCCTCAGCTGCCTGCTCTGTGCTGGGGACATGGCTTGCTTAGGCACTCATAGTCCACTGGAGACACAGACCCATCCCCAGAGTGGTCAGGCTAGGATAGGGGGAGCCCAGGGAGCTGCAGGAGCACAGAGGGGGCGCCTGACCCAGTCTGGGGGGTCAGGGAGGGCTTCTCAGACAAGTGACACAGAGTGGCCTGGAGGATGAGGAGTTAAATGGCAGACCGGAACCATCACTGGTTCATCTGACATCACTTCATGCTCTCTCTGATTCAACTCATTGACTCTTCAAAACAACTCCAGGAAGACAGACACTTTTATGAGCCCCATTTTCCAGATGAGAAATCTGAGGCACAGAGAGGTTAAGGGATTTACTTGAGGCACACAGGTAGGAGACGAAAGAGCAGAAGCCCCCATGGGGGAGCTGGTGCCGGGCCTATCCTGCCAAGGAGGAAACAGGCTCCTTATGGTCACTGGGGACTGGAATGGGCGGGCAGGGGACACTGGGGGCAGGAAGAGCCCGGTCACTAGAGAGACGACAGCTGGGGCCCCCTCCCTCCCCAGTGCCTACACAAACACACACACCAGCCCAGATTTGGAAAGTGTGTCTCATGTGGGAGGGAAGGAGGGAAGGCGGTTGAGTCAGTGTGGGAATGGGAGACGTGGCAGAGAGAAGCCCAGGGCACATGCGCACTCACACAGGAAAAACAGTCATATTAGCACTTCCATAGCACCTACTGTGTGTTGCAGTTTTCAGTGCGTCCCATGTTTTAACATTTCATTTTAACCCTCACTGTAGCCTATGAGGCTGATACTATTATTAGTCCCAATTTACAGATGAGGAAACTGAGGCACAGAAGGGTTAAATAGCTTGCCCAAGGTCTCACAGTTTAAAAAGAGTAGAGCCCAGATTTGAACCCTGCCAAAGGGCTCCATTCTGCTACAATCACACACATTCATGTTTACAGATATTACACACAGAGGGAAGCCACACACCCCACCAATGCACACCCACATGAATTCACGCACACAGGTGCGTACCCAGTAGCACACACCTGGTCACACGCTACAAGTTGCAGACTCCCAGGCATACCCTTGCTCACAATCTAGGACCTCCACAGATATTCGTGGTCACACAATCCCAAAGACACTGTGTGGCCCACAGAAAGTAACAGATATAGCAGCATGCATGCACAAGCACACGATTGTACACAGAGATACCATCACATGCAGTCACACACAATCCAACAAAGTCCCCTCAGGCTTATACAGTCCTACATGGCCACACAAAGTCACACACAGGTACAACCACAAGCCCATCCCCGACACACACAGACACACAGACACACCCAGTGTCTTCCACACAGCCACACAATCTCAGTCACACCCACAATTACACACCTTCCCAGACACACACTAAATTACAGAGTTACACAAAAGATTCCCTTACACACACACACACACACACACACACACACACACACACACACACACCCAACACTTCACAATAAATGGCATATAGAAACACAGTCCCACAAAGTCTCCCCCACAGTCCTTTAGAGGCACAAAAAGTCACAGCCACAGGTACAGATTCTCAGACACACACATCCACGCACATCCACACAGACAGCGGGAAGGACTCTCCTCCTCTGCCTCTACCCCCCGCCACACACACACACACCCTCCCCCAGGGAAGGAGACCCATTCTCTATTCTCCCCCCTTCCCACTGCCTTTGCCCTCCATCTCCCCCCCNGTGGGCGTGGCCTGCGAGGCTGGACCAATACGACGAGGGGCGGGGCCTAAGGGCGGCTGCTCTGGGACCCAGAGAGGGGAGGCCACAGGGCGCTGATGGCTTTTCCAGAAAGGAAGCGGGGGAAGGTGCCAGGAAGAGATAAGGTGGGAAGGCGGGGTGGGCCGGGGCGCGGGTCCCGGACTCCGGGGTTTGTCCGGGTTTCCGCAGCCGCCGCGGGGGCACCAGGTGTCTGGTCCGACCTCGCCCCACCATACCGCGGACCTGGGTTCCAGCTCCTGCCGCGGTCTGCTTCCCCAAGGAGCCTGGGGAATAGGGGTCCGTGGGGGGGGGGGAGAACCGGGGCGAGGGCGTACCATAGGGAGATTGAGAAAGATAGGAAGGAAGACAGAGAGGTAAAGGCAGAGGAAGGGAACTCAGGAGAGAGAAAGGGAGAGAATGAGGGAAGGAGAGGGGAAGAGAGTGAGAGAAAGAATAAGAGAGAGAAAGAAACTGAGAAAGAGGTAGAAATAAGGGGGGGGAGAGAGAGAGAGTGTGTTAGTTCAGAGCCTCGGCGGAGTGAAAGGTGGATTCTGAAGGCTCCAGTCCACACCGGGCCGCTCCCTCCCAAGGAGGATTCCTGGGGTGGGGGTGGGGGCTCTGACTCACCCCCTTCTCCACTGCTCCTTAAATCAACACCTCAGGCCCCTCCACCCCCCATAACCTTCTGGGCCTCGCTGCCTGCCCAGCTTCCTGCCCCTCCTCCACCCTGGCAGCCTCCCCCATGAATGTTCCATTCAGCCTCCAAAATCACTCAGAAACCAGTGCTCTCCTCCCCTTCCCCAAGGCCCTGTCCTGATCCAGCCTCCTCCTCGTTCCTCGGTCCCCAACTTCCTCCCTGATCTGTGGCCCCCGTTCCACAGCCCTTGAATCCGCCCCCGAAAAGGCAGCTGGAGTCTGAAGATGTCCCTCCTCTGCTTTGAACCTTTCCATGGTTCCCCAGCGCTCTCAGCACAAAGCGCGGGTTCCTGGCCCCAGGCCCTGGATGGTCTGACTCCCATCCACCTCCACAGCCTCAGGGTTCAGTTACTTGCACTGCCCATACTAGGTTCAACTGACATTTTCCCTCTTCCTTAAACCTGCCATGTTTTCACTCACTTCCAGTCCATGTTTTAGTTGCTTCCACTATCTAGAATTCCTTCCCCTCCTTGTCCTCTTTATCCTCTAGTTCATAGCTCAGGTGCCCTCTCCTCCAAGAAGCCCTCTCTGATTCCCCCCGGCCTCTCCAGTTCCAGCCCTGACCATACTGGGTTGTCATTGTCTGGGGATGGGTCTGTCTCCTCCCCTGGACTGCCTTGGTCACTGCTGTGGCCCCTGGAACAGGGCCAGGCACAGAAGAGCTTTTGTTGAATGAGGGTGTTTGTTCAATGTCATTAATTCCATAAATATTTACTGAGCACCAACTCTGTTCTAGGCACTGAGGATACAGCAGGGAACAAATCCAAAGAAAGATCCCTGCTTTTGTGGAGCTTAAATATGAGTGGAGGAGACAGGCAGTAAACACAGAAACCCAATGAATGGATAACATAAGGCCAGGTAGTAATGACCACTATGAAGAAAACTACAACAGATATAAAGCAGGACTCGCAAGGGAGGTAGTTAGAGTCATAAAAAAGGGAGGGCAGGCAGGGAAGCCTTCCAGAGAGGTGACATTTGAGTCAAGACTTGGAAGTAGGTGACAAGTGAGCCATGTGGGTAGCCAGGTGGGGGAGGGGTGAAAAGGGGGAGGTCTCCAGGAAAAGACAACAGCAAGTGCAAAGGCCCTGAGGTAGGACTGAGGCCAGTGTGAAGTGCAATGAATGATGGGAAGGGAGTGGAAGATGAGGACAGAGGAAAGGCAGGGTATGGAGGTAGACCACAGGGAGGGCTTGGTTTTTGCTGAGTGACACAGGAGTCCTGAACGGGACACGGTGCAATCTGATCAGTGGTAGGGTATGAATGAAGGAATAATAGGACAGAAGAGACAGGGAGACATGGAAGGAAACAGAGACAGAAACGCAATGGTAAAAGAACAATTCTCCACGCAATTCTGCTTCCCCCAGTCCACTCTGCACCAGAATGACCCAGCTTGGAGAACTCTCTTAGATTAGACGACTGACTAATCAGAGAGCCGGTAAGTCCGTGACTAGCAGCCAAGTACAGGAGGGTCAGAGTAAAGGCCAGACTGTCTCTGCCTCCCTGTCCCGCAGTACTGTTCTTCCCCCACCCCCCATCGCTACTCACCCGCACCAGCCGGGCCCTCTTCACGAGGTCATTGAGCTTGCGCAGGGCTGCGTGGCGTGGCAGGCCCTGGATGTCGCGGAAGAGGTCCTGCTCCTCCAGCTCGAATAGGCGCCGGTTGTCGGGCACCAGGAGGGGCTGGGACCAGAAGGAACCGATGTAGACACGCAGCACTTCAGGCGTGCCCACCACCTTGCCCAGAGCCCACATGAGCGCCCCGTAGACGCGCATCAACTGCTGTGTCTCCACCATGTCGGCCTTGTTGAGCACCACGCGGATCTTGTCCTCGTGGCCGCGCAGGGCGCCGATGGCCTCGGAAAACTCATCCGAGATCTCCAGCTTGTGAGCGTCAAACAGCAGGATGATGAGGTCCACACGCTCGGCGAACCAGCGCAGCACAGCTGGGAAGTCATAGCCTGGGGGAAGGGGGTGGGACAAAGATCAGCCCCCTACCCTCCAGCCAACAGGAGGCATCCATTTTAGTTGATATCGGATTGTA